GCGTGAGGCCTGGAAAGTAGGGGAAAGGTCCCGGCGGCGGCGCGGCGGCAGTCGGCTGGCTGCAGTCATGTCCTCTCCACCGGAGGGGCTGCATGCCCAGGTCGCGCGCTGGCCCCACGCAGTGGACCGGTCCGGTAGGCGGGACTCACAGGGCCGGCTTAACGCCTATCTCTAATTTCTGTTAAGCTGTCCCCTGCTCCCTGGACCGCATCTGCCCAGGAAGAGGTTTGAAACCTGCCTGGGTTTGTGGACGTTCCCGCATCCGCTCTTTCCTGCAGGGCGCCAGACTTGCAGCTTCTGGGTCTGGCCTTCCACTGTTCTAGTCTGCAGTTTGCTGCAACCACCTGGCATGTGCCTAATGAGGCCTGAGCGTCCTTCACAGTGGCCATACAAAGGCCACAGGACTCTGGGAATCCTCAGGCCTACGTGAGAGCTGACCCAAAGCCGGGGTACCCTTTTTTCTCCCTGTGTCTCTAGGTGCAGTTATCCATTTATGCTACTCAGGTCTTGGAGAACAGAGGTCATACATGCAGTGTGTGTGTCCCTCCTCACCTACAGTGCTGCAATAGGACACCCCTCCCCTAGTCGTCAAGGCCTCACTGCAGAGTCTGGATCCCGGTGGAGTATGGGGAAAGTCAGAGCCAAGCGTTAGGCTGCCTATCCTCACACAGGTGAGCAGGCAGAGCCGTGATCCTAAGCTGGCAAAGTTTAAGGTTCATAACTGATTCATCGCAGTTTCACTCTGACCGGACGGTGGGATTAAGCAGGCCAAAGGGAGGGAGTTTGTTGACAGTTAACAGTAGGAGCGTTTATAGAGGAATTAACCATGTTTAACTGCTTTGGAGTTGAGCACACATGGAGTTAGTCTTCCTACCCAGACTTTCAAATTGTTTTGTCTGTTGCCCCCATTGGCTTTCTGATTCCCCGTGTCCACCCCTGCCTACATTGCCTCCCCATCGAACCCCCTCTCCACCCCAGACATCTTTAAACTTTGCAGTGGCCCCCTACACACATCTGAGCTCCTGCAGTGACCTGCTCTTCAGCGCTTCACTGTCTGCTCCCATAGTTGCTATGCTTCATATGTTGGGAAATAATCTCCAGTCAAATGTTAATAATAGTATTTGGAGATGGGGCCTTTGGAAGGTGATTGGGATTAAGGAAGGTCGTGCCGTTTTATGATAGAGACTAGCTGGCTTGCTCTCTCTATCTGACCACGTGACATGGCCAGGGCATCTTGATCCAGCAGGAAGACCTCCATCACATGTTGAGCAGAACTGATGAGTGCTCTTGGGCTGCAGAACTGTGAGCCGAATGTACTTTGATATAGGAGGTGGGGAAGTGACTCGATTGGTAAAGAGCTTGCAGTGCAGGCCTGAAGACTGAGGTGGACCCCCAGATCCCACATAAGAAGCTTGGCAGAGTGGTCCACACTTGTTGTTTTTTTTTGTTTTTGTTTTTGTTTTTGTTTTTGAAGACAGGGTTTCTCTGTGGCTTTGGAGGCTGTCCTGGAACTAGCTCTTGTAGACCAGGCTGGTCTCGAACTCACAGAGATCCGCCTGCCTCTGCCTCCCGAGTGCTGGGATTAAAGGTGTGTGCCACCAACGTCCAGCTGGTACACACTTTCAATCCCAGCTCTGGGGAGAGGCAGGACCCTGGGCTTCACTGGTCAAGTCAGGGAGCCCCACATTCCAATGAGATACTCTGTCTTAAACAGAAACAGGGTGCGTGGCTCCTAAAGGAATGACACTAGAGGTCTCCATGTGGGGACACATACACAACCCTCTATATAAACTTCCTGGTCTCAGGTGTTTTGTTGTAATCACACAAAAATAAACTAAGACATGGGTCAATGCCTTCCCTGGGTCGCCTGTCACATCAACTGCTGTCTCCAGGGCTCAGCATGTGTTATTTACTTGATGTATCCTGTGACATTACTGGCACATCTCCCCGGGGAAGCCTCTTCCAGCATACCTGTAGACTCAAGCTGATCCTATCCCTCACTGCTGTCTCCACCTGAACTCCCATAGCACTTTGCACAGTCTGCAGCTTTTCTGTCTCTTTGTGCAGTATCGTCTGTCTGCCTCTTCTGGGACACGGAGCTTGCCTGATTTATCCATGTCAGCACATGGTAACTGTTGATTTAACGCTGACTCATTAAATCAACTTTGTCAACCCTACTGGCTTCTGTGCTGGAGCCCCCCCACAGGTGCCTCTCTCATCTAGCATCCTTGGGAGGGAACTTGTGTTCACCCCACTTTGATGTCTTCACTCAAGCAGGTGCCCCTGGATATCCTGCCCCTAGGATCCTTGCTTCTCCTAATGTGGCTCATCTTCAACTCCCCCCTTTTCCATGTTTGTTCTTTCACCAAGGACATTACCGTTTCTTCAAAAACATGCTTACTGTTCTTATCACTCACTCCTCCCCTTGTCCAGGCTACTACACAGACACACCTGAATGACTGTCATCACTTCCCAGCAAGTCTCCCTAGCAAGACTGACGCCCACCCTCTCACCACTGGATGGATTTTCCTAAAGTGGGAAGTGTACCAGACTCACACACAAAGCACTAGCTGGAATCCATACACTCAAACTCATCCAGGAATACCTGACTCTTCTGGACCTGACACCATCCCACACGACCCCCCCTCATCTTTCTTCACTGCTTCCCACATTGCTCTCATGTTCTTGCCTTCCCGCCCTGTGTTTCCATACAGAGCCCTCAGAGCCTGGTGTTAGGTCAAGTCACTGCCCTTGCTTACTAGATAGGATTCCTGCAGTATGGCTCCCTGGCAACTGTTCAGCACAAAGCCATGTGCTTGGCCTCTGGATCCAAATCACTTCTCTGGCAGTGTGACCTTGTCCGAGTCATGCTGTCTGCCTGCTTAATTTTTACAGAAGAGAAGGCAATGACTCTCCGGGGACCTGGAGCTTGTCTCACTCCAGTCTGTGTTCCCTGGATGGCAGGGGTAACCAGGGATCATGACTCTCCAGGCCTAAGTCCAGGACCACCTGTATCTAGCCATCTTCCAGATAGCTGAGCAGGCTTCCGTTACTGCCAAGCTCCTGGTTGTGACCTTTCTTGTATTCAAGAGGATATTGGTATGTTTGTAAGCTGAAGGACTTCATAAGATCCTTGTCACCCAACACTCAGAGACAATGTGGTCCAGCAAGTAGGACTGGACATAGCTATAGGTCACAGCTTTAGAGAGAGCATAGTCCCTCTGGCCAGAGCGCCCGACTCCTGAGTGTGCTTGCAGTGTACCCATGTGTACATGGAGTCAACCTTCTGAGCCTGCCTTGTTGACTTCACATTATGTCTTGGAGTTTATTGCACATCAATCCATAAAAATCAACCCTGTTCTTGGTAATGGTTATATAACACTCCATTATGGATGTGTCATGAATTGTTTAACACTTCTGGTTGAATAACCAGGACATTTAGATTGCTTGCCACTTCCCAGTATATCCTGCTACTCCACTATTTGCCTATATGCAAGGAGAGCTACAGGATCACTTACCAGCATGGGGATTGTTGGGTTAACTGCTTTGGAGGTCTCTGTCTTCCCTCCCCCCCATCCTCTCTCGTCTGTCTCTCTCTCTCTCTGGATTTTACTGAAGCATAGCATAGTTACAGGAAAGCACAAATTATATGCACAGATGAGCAAGGTTTTACGGGATGAACTCAGGATATCACCAACACCCAGAGTAGGAAACACTATCCTAGAACCTGGAAGCCTCCCGAGCTTCTCCGGGCCACCACTCCATCCTCCCTGGCCCCCTGACCAGCAAAGCGCTTATCATGAACAAATAGCATTGATAACTTTCTTGTGTGTTTTGAAACCTTTACCAATAGACTTTACAGTATATGAAATTTGGGGTCTGGCTTCTTTCGCTCAATATGCTGTTTCATGCAAGTAGGTTTTGTATGTGTATCTGTGTGCAGTTGTTTGTAGATGTATGTGGGTGTGCATGCATTGGAGGCCCCACATCAACCTTGGGTGTTGTTCTTCAGGAGTCATCTGCCTTGACTTTTAGACAAGTTCTCTCACTGGGATCTGGGGCTGGACAATTAGACTAGGTTGGCCGGCCAGCCAGCCAGCCCCAGGGAACTGCCCTTTCCTTTGTGCCAGGACTACAAGTATGTGCCAGCTTTTTACATGGGTTCCAAGGACTGTGCAGCAAAATATTTCTGATCGAGCTATCTTCCCAGCCCCCACATTTGTTTTCATCTAAAAATCACTGCCATAGTGTAGACATTAGGATTGTTTACAGTCTGATGCTAAAACTGCTATTAAAATTTTTATACACATGGTGCATGCATTTTTTTTCTTTTTTCTTTTGGAAACAGGGTCTTGGTTTATAATACAAGCTGGTCTTGAACTCATGGCAATCCTTCTGCCCTAACCTCAAACTTAGCCAAGATTTCCTGACTCTCCTGAGACATACTGCAGCTGTATTGGCATTGCAAGTATGCATAACTACAAATGACTTTTTTTTTTTTTTTTTTGGTTTTTCGAGACAGGGTTCCTCTGTGGCTTTGGAGGCTGTCCTGGAACTAGCTCATGTAGACCAGGCCGGCCTCGAAATCAGAGATCCACCTGCCTCTGCCTCCCGAGTGCTGGGATTAAAGGCGTGCGCCACCAACACCCGGCTACAAATGACTTTATACATGCATTTTATGCACAAAGATATTTTCAAGTTACCTCACACTATACTGTTATGACCATTTGCCTCACTGATCACTGTTAAGCCAGTTCCAGTAAAAGCTGGTGTTGAGATGTCTTCCTCATTAATTTTCCACCTTACATTTTGAAATAGGATCTCTCACTGAACTTGAAACTCATCAATTGGATTAGACTGGCTAGCCAGTGAACTGTGGGATTCCCCATCTCTGCCTTGCTAGTATTGGGACTGCAAGCACATGGCCATGCCTGGTTTTTGTTGGCATTTGTCTTCCTTGGGCTCTGGAGATCTGGACTGAGGTTCTCAAATGTATAGAGGGCACATTGCTGATTGAGCAATCTCCCCAGGGGCTAGCTTCCCATTTCTTTAGTTAATTTTGGTAATGCTGTGCCTTCTTGAATTTCTCCTTTCCTCTCTCTGCCTCTCCTTTCCTTGACTTCCTTCTCTTTCTTTTTTCCTTTTCACTTTTACAGCCCAAGCTTGCCTCATACTTGTGGATCCTCCTGCCTCTGCCTCTAGAGAGCTGAGATTACAGTTATGTGCTTCCCACACCCAGCTATTTAATGGATTTCTTCCCCACACACTTTTATTAAGCTAACAGGAAGAAAACAGAACCCAGAAAGCCCTTGGTATTTCCTTGATGTTTTTGTTTTCTCCATTATTGAAAAGCCACCTTGATTTTCTCGGATTGTTGGAGGGAGTAGAAGCATGAGTATGTGTATATGTTGTAGGGAAGGAGTCCTGGAGAAAAGGAAGTGACAGGAGACATACCAGCCTGTGGTAGGGTGAGGGAATAGGGCAGGTCCTGGGCAGGAGGAAGGGCCTGCTTCGTGGGGATGCTGTGGTGAAGGGTACCAAAAGAAGAGGATAGCATCCACGTTCTGCCATCCTAATGATCTGCAAAGCCCAGCCACCTACTACAGTCACAGCTGTCTGGTGAACTCCAGACTTGGTGAGATGACAAAGGTTGGAAACCAATCACTGAGGGACAGGGAAAGTATGTAGGATCACTGTCCCCTGCACTGAGAGCCCAATGAGAGTGTTCAAACAACCAAGCTGGACTCAATAGACATAACAGGTTCAGTTTTTCCAGGTTCTGTTGTTAATGTGCCGGGTCACCTTGGCAGCTCTCCTCTGGAGTTGGATTAGCCGTGGGTTTCTGTTTTTGTTGTTGTTATTTGCTTTTTTCAGAACAGGGTCTTGCTGGGCATTGGTGGCGCACGCCTTTGATCCCAGCACTGGGGAGGCAGAGGCAGGTGGATCTCTGTGAGTTCAAGACCAGCCTGGTCTTCAAGAGCTAGTTCCAGGACAGCCTCCAAAGCCACAGAGACACCCTGTCTCGAAAAAACAAAAACAAAAAAAAACAAAACAAAAAAAAAACAGGGGTCTTACTCTGTAGCTCTGGCTGTCCTAGAACTCGCTCTGTAGACCAGGCTGTCCTCGATCTCAGAGATATCTAACTGCCTCTGCCCCTAAAGCCTGGGATTAAAGGTGTGTTCGACTAAGTCCAGGGTCAGCTTTGGGTTTCTAATTAGCCTTAAGCTATGGTCAAATTGTTAATGTTCATGATTTTGCTGTGAACAAACAAAACCAAGGCCAAAAGACAGTTTTTTATTCCATGCTATGGAATTTTCACTTTATTCAAATATACTTGATTCCAACATACCTCTCAAAGTTTGAATGTTGGAAGCTTGATCTTTGGTGGTGTTAGGAGGCGGGACCTTACAGAGTGATTCAGCAACAAGCACTCTACCTTCCATGAGTGGGCTAAGGCTGTGAGTTCCTTACACAATGATAGATTTGACCCCATCAAGCTCTCTGTTGCTCTCTGTCCTTCTGTCATGGGTGGCATGACAGGAGGAAGGACATTACTAGCCACTGACCATTCCATCTGAGATGGCCCAGACTCCAAGAACACAAGACAACAAATACTGTAGGCTCATTATAAACCACCTTGCTTGTGTTACAGTGGTACAAAATGCACTAAAACATAAAAAATAATAGAGATTATTATTTATTCAGAGGGTATATATTTCCATTTTTTTCTCTACTGAAATGCTCTGTCTTGTGAGGCAAGATGGTAGTCACAGATGGCAAATGACATCCAGGCTTGTGAAGGAAAACATTAGCCACTCTACAGATAGCTCCCAAGATCGTTCTAAAATACTGTGGTCAGAGAAACTGTACCTGGGAATCGTTGCCTTAGGTGTGTTTGGAGATGCATTCCATATGTGGTGATGCAAGGATCTACCAGGGCTAGCCTCTTGTCTACTGCTAACTTGGAGGAACTGGGCCTGGCAGCTGCCAAGAGGAGGGACCCCCAGGGGCAAACATCTTCCTCCATTTGATCTTCATCCCTGAGTCACCCAGTGACCCCTCTTCAGGTCCAGACCCCACCAGCCCAGCCTTTGGCCGGAGTCCAGCCATGAAACCAACATGGGACAAAGCTCTGATTAGCCACTGTCTTCCCTGCACTGACATGCTCTCCAGATTAGGTGGGAGAAGCTGGAAAGAGAAGCGGTGTTGGCACACAGTGGGGTCCAGCTTAGCAGGCCAGAAGCAGCAGAAAGACCAGAACACAGAGGGAACTGATTACATGGCTGGCTTTCTGCTTGGCTGAACACTTTGTCAAGTGGTTCACTTTCACCAATCAGAGACTGCTTGGGGGTGAGTGACTGTTTCCTGCTGATAGCCCCAGGCTCTTGGCTCCTCCCCTTGAGGCCCTGGGGATGGAAGACAGAGGGGCCCATAGGGGTAGTTAAGACATTTACCATCCAGGTCAGCCCACTCGTTTGCTAACAGGGAAATTGAGAGAAACCACTCAGATGCCTTGTATGGTGCATCACAGACAGACATCATAGATAGCAGGAGTAGGCCAGTGCTGTGCTGATGCTGGTGCGCAGCCCCTCCATTTCAGCCCCATGTTACATGTAGGGAAACTGAGGAAGAGAGGACTGAAGCAGCACCAGCATTATCACAGGCTGGTGAGTGATGACCCCCAGGAAACACCTCCTCACTCAAGCCAGAGCTTTCTTCCCCAGCCTCAGGCTACTAATCCCTGACCTGCAAGGAGGCCAGGCTCAGGGCAGTGGGTAGCTCCCGCTAGCTAGAGGCCCCACCTTCACAGACCTGTACTCATACTGTAGGTGGCTGCATCCTGGCTGCCAATCTCTGCCTTCTTTGTGTGTCTCCAGGCTGTATGCCCTCTCTGTGAGACTTTGTCTTCAGTCCTTCAGAGAGAGAGAGAAGCAGATGTGTTCATGTGTAGGTACTTGGGACAGAGGGTCCATATGGTCTCAACATGCATCCTTTGTCAACAGAAACCAAGATAAGAGCCAGAGTAGCACGGTCTCCAGGAGACTTCTGGGAGGGACTGTGCATGTGGCAGTGGAGGAGATGAATCTGAGGACAGTGAGAATTAAAACCCACACCCTGTCCTTGAGTTCCTCACCAGTAGTCAGGAGAGACTGACTCACAAACAAGAGACAGCATTCACCAAGGCTCATGGGCAGCAGAGAGGATCTGATGACTTCCCAGAGAAACTGCTTGCAGGTTTGTCTATAGTGCTCATTTGGGCTGGGAGTCAAGGGGACAGGTAGGGCCACCCAGGGACAAGAAGTCAATTTGTGCTACTATTGGCATGTCTCTTTGTCCAAGGCATTTCCACCTCTTAGCTAGAGACTTTCTTATGCAGTGTAAGCTCAGTGCATCAACATGAGCCTAGGAAGAAACCAATGATCCCATGCAGAGAGGACAGGGTAGGACCCAGGTTGTGGGTCCATCATGAAACTTATCAGGTCTGGAATAGAGTCTGAGACTCTGCATGTCTGACCAGTTCCACAGCTGTTAAGGCACTGGGTCAGAGTCATCATGAGGACTACTGGTTTACAGAGAAAGGGAGACAGTAGCCTAGCAATCAAAAGCAGCTGGTCTCTGTTGTCCAGTGAGTACAGGACCAACAGCCAGACACCTCTCCATCCATGCTGCCCTGCCACGTCTTGGACATAATTCCCCAAGACTGCCATCTCCTAAACAGCCTCAGATAAGACTTGAAAAGCACTGGGTGGTGGTGCTTTAATCCCAGCACTTGGGAGGCAGAGGCAGAGGCAGAGGCAGGCAGAGTTCGAGGCCAGCATGGTCTCCAGAGCGAATCCAAGGACAGCCTCCAAAACTACAGAGAAACCCTGTCTCGAAAAACAAAAACAAAAACAAAAACAAAACAAAACAAAAAGACTTGAAAAGCTGTGTGGCCTTGGGCAGCTATATAAGCCATCTCATGACCTGGAAGGGCCACCACCCAAGTGTCTCGTGGCTGCCTGGCCTGTTTGCTCAGGCTACAGTTAGATGTGCTGCCAAGCAGGCTTCCCCAGTGACCCAGTGCAGAACTGGCACCAGCCCAGACCAGGCAGCAGGGCGGGCCAGGAAGGGAGCTCCAGGCATTGGCAATAGAGAAGCATCACACACGCATACTTTGTGTGTGTCCCTGTGGAGACCTGAGTGGAAATCTGTTAGGATGCCTGCCTCTTGTCCCACTTCCTGAAGACTGCTAGGCCCCTGCTCAAGCAAGACTGTCCCTGTGTACCACACAGCCTCCAGCCATGAGGTGGCCATCCTCCTGGCTCAACATAAGATGATTTTAATCACTCACAGGCAATTTTCAGTCCAAGGCAGAGTATCCCTAATTCAGAGCTCACTGCAGGCAGGCAGCCTCTGCTGCCAGGGGCTTCCCTGGAACAGGGAGACTCCTTGACACCCAGTGTACAGTGTACAGAGTACAGTGACCATAGTACTCCCTGCCTGAAAGCGCCCCCCTCCCCCCAGTGTACAGGCTGTAAGCCATATTGCCCCTCTCCTCTTTGGGGAAGTTAATTTATTCTGAGGACCACAGCCTGCCTGTCTTTCTCCACCCCACACTAGGATGGTTACCTCCTAATTTACGAAGAGATTCAGTCTCAGAGAGGGCCTGCTATGGACTGGGATCACTCCACATCTGGAACAGTCTGACTAGAGTTCTTTCACTATACCTGCAAGGCTTTGTGTCCTTCACAGATCTGTGCTTGGCTCTCTTGGGTCATCCTGGGTCACCCTGTGTCCAGGCACCGTAGAGAGCCAAGAGACTGAGTTTCCTTGTCTTCCATGGCTTAGCATTTCATGGTTTGGAAGCAGCCACCATTACCCTCCTTCTATTTGGCTTTTGCCCTGCAGGAATGCAGAGGTAGGAGCCCTCTCTTCTTTGTAAGAATGACCCTCCATCCCAGACAGCAGCATGTGGAGATGCTAGACAGGAAGACAAGAGACAGATGACTATTTGGTACCTGCTTAATTCTCTGGTCCTGTGAGTAGCAGCAATGTATGGGTTGCTGTCTGTTTCATTATACACATCCACTCTTCATCCTGCTAGTTCCCATGGAAGCCCAGATGTTCAGCCAGCTACTGGGCTGGAAGCCGGAGCATGATAGAAGGGGCTCAGTTCCCCATAGCTTTGTTACTTAACCTCCCAATGGCGGTTTTCTTGACTATTAAATGGAGATGGTAAACAAATTACTTACTGGAATGTGATGGTATTAAATAAAATATATAAAGGCTTGGCAGAGATGCCCGCCACTTACTGACCTTACGGTAGATAGGTAGCCGGAAAGAAGCATCCCTGTGACAATGAAGAGAGACTGTTATGATCTTATTTGACACATACGATAAAATGGCACTGTCATTGGCCCACTCTGTCCCTGGGTTCTCTATTGTGGACTCAAGCAACCTCAGATGGAAAACACACACAATGAATGAGGCTGGAGCTAGAAAGATGGCTCAACTGTTAACAGCACTGGTTGCTGTTCCCAGGGGACCCACGTTTGATTCCTAGCACCCATAGGGCAGCTCACACCCATCTGTGACTCTAGTCCCAGGGGATCTGACACCATCTTCTGGCCTCCTTGGATACTACATACATGTAGTCAAAACATACACATAATTTAAGTTTGAAAATGGAGTTGATAAAGTGCACGTGCAGATCTTTTCTTGTCACTATTCCATAAGCAGCAGAGTACAGCAGTCACTGACACAGCCCTTACATTGTATCACAGACAGCTGAACCATCTGACAGTGACTTTAAGTTGGTAGGAGGTGCACAGCTGATGTCATTTTAAGGGCTGGGAATGTAGTTCAGTGGCTGAAAGCTATTACATACACAAGATCCTAGGTTTGATCCTTGCACGGGGAGTGGGAAGCAAATATGTCATTTTTTTAAAAGATGTGTTACATTCATTATGCTATGGAATATTTGTTTAATGATGCAAGGATGTGTTACATTCTTTTTTTTAAAGAAGATTTTATTTATTATGTATACAACATTCTGCTTCCATGTATATCCGCACACCAGAAGAGGGCACCAGATCTCATAACGGATGGTTGTGAGCCACCATGTGGTTGCTGGGAACTGAACTCAGGACCTCTGGAAGAGCAGTCGGTGCTCTTAACCACTGAGCCATCTCCCCAGCCCCAAATATGTCATTTTATATCAGGGACATGTGCTGTTTTTATTTATCTGTTTTGGCCTTTTTTTTTTTTTTCTTTTCCACCTGAGACAGGATTTCTCTGTATTGCTTTGGAGCCTGCCCTGGAACTCACTCTATATACCAGGCTGGCCTTGAACTCAGAGATCTGCCTGCCTCTGCCTCCTGAGTACTGGGATTAAAGTTGTGTGCCACCAACGCCTGGCTGTTTTGTTTTTGGTCTTTTATGCTAAGGCTCTCCTATTCAGCAACTGGAGCTCCACTGCTAACAGCAGCAGCTAAGCTGTAAGAGCCAAAGCCTGAAGGAATTCTGCTCCCTCAGGCACTGACTCTTTCAAAGCTACTAAGGAAATTTATTTAAATCTCCATCCAGTTAAAGAACTCAAGATTTAAAGGTTGAAGCAGAATCCTGCTTCCCAGACAGGCTGAACAACAAGCAGCTCACTTCCTTGAGCCTCCCAAGAAGTCCTTGTGCGAAGTCTCAGGATGCTCTGTAGTTAGGCATTGAGAAATAAAGGCAATAGAAGTTTTTTTTTTTTTTTTTTTTGGTTTTTCGAGACAGGGTTTCTCTGTGTAGCTTTGAAGCCTATCCTGGCACTCACTCTGGAGACCAGGCTGGTCTCGAACTCACAGAGATGCGCCTGCCTCTGCTTCCGAAGTTCTGAGATTAAAGGCGTGTGCCACCAACACCCGGCCTGGCAATAGAAGTTTTAAGAAGCTTTTCCTTACATTAAAATCTAGTGATACCTCGCCGGGCTGTGGTGGCCCACGCCTTTAGTCCCAGCACTTGGGCAGCAGAGGCAGGCAGATCTCTGTGAGGTGGAGGCCAGCCTGGTTTACAGAGTGAGTTCCAGGACAACCAGGGCTGTTACACAGAGACCCTGTCTCGGGTGGGGGGTGTATATAAATAAGAGCGAGAAGGCCACTATGTGACATTTAGTGATGACCATGCCAGGGAGGGGACCTTCTATCTTCTTTCTTGGGAGGGTATTTCAGATCCATGGGAAGGGGAAGCAGAAACCCTGAAGATGTCGCTTTCTTCTCAAGTGATGGGGGCTACATGCACCAGTGATAAGCTGTGTCAACATGGCAAACTGATGTGCAGAAGGGCTATGGTTGTGAAACCTTTTTAGGACCACGGAAGCCTGTCAGATGGGAGGTAGCCTGCTAAGAGACACACTGCGGTCCTGCGTTGGCTCTGGAAATGGAAAGACCATAAGTGAAGAATTTGGTGACCTACCAGTGACATCTGTGAGCAGCTTGATCATACTGTGATGTGTGTGCATGGCTTTAGAAGATGCCAACATTGGGACAGGGCTATGTGAAGCACTCGAGGGACTCTGTACTGGCCTCGTCGTTTTGCAGCAAATCTACATCTGTTGCTTAATTAAAAGGCTTTGTTGTTGCTTTTGTGTTTGTTCTTAAAATTATGCACAGTGGTCGGGGACTGTAGCTTAGTGGTCAAGGCCCTGGGCTCCTTTCCCAGCACTGCAGTAAATGATATCAACTACACAATGCATTGTAAGGGAATAATCAGAACAAGTTCTCCAGGTATCTCTCTCTCTCTCTCTCTCTCTCTCTCTCTCTCTCTCTCTCTC